TGGTTTAGCCATTAGTTTTTCAGATACAATATCAAAAACACAAATGATAAAAAAATAGATAAATTATAATTCATTAAAATTAAAAACTTTTGTATTGCCAACAGTAGCATCAATGAAATGATAGCTTACAGACGGGAGAAAATATTTTCAAGTTATATATCTGATGGTAGAGTTGTATACAGAACATGTCAAGAATTCTTACAGCTCAAAAATAAAAAGATAAATAGCCCAATTAAAAACTGGGCAAAGCTTATGAATAGACATTTCTACAAAGAAGATATATTTAAATGGCCAATAAACACATGAAAAGATGCTCAATTACCCTAGTCCTTACAGGAATGCAAATGTAAACCATGAGCTACAACTTCTCATATACTGGGATAGTGTAATAAAAAAGATAAGTGTTCATGAGTATGTGGAGAAATAGAACTCCTATTATAGCTATGGGGAATATAAAATGGAGTAGCTACTTTAGGTAATGGTTTGGCACGTCCTCAAAATGGTAAGCATGGTTAACATACAACCGAGAAATTCCACTCCTAAGTATAAATATCCAAGAGAAATAAAAATATACATCCACACAAAAACTTACACATATTAAAAGCAGCGTTATTTATATCATAGTAGCCAAAAAGTAGAAACAACCCAAATGTTCATCAAATGTTGAATGGATACAGTGTGATATATTTATACAGCGGAATATTATTTAGGAATAAAAAGGAAGTAAATATCGGGTCTAGTAATAATTAATGTCGTTTTTAAACATTCGTTTAAAATCTTGCTTGGCGTTGACTTGTATTGACATAACCTTCAAACACGTGGTATCTACAGAACGTGTGAAGTGCAATTAACAAGTTTTGCTTGAAAAAGTTTGTGTTTGGTTTGGTTTTTGTTGCAAAACTAGGGCTAAGAAGATGGCGGATGAAGAGCATATTCGGCACTGCATGCTTTACGAGTTCCAATTAGGAAGAAAAGCAAGTGAGGCTGCAAAAAACATCTGTAGTGCTCTTGGTCAAGATGCAGTTAGCGCCAGAAAATGCCAGTGTTGGTTTGAGAAATTTCGCGAGGGAAATTTTTCATTAGATGACAAGAGTGGTCGAGGCCGTGTGTCCAATTTTGATCAAGAAGCTCTTCAAGCTCTTTTGGTGCAAAATCCTCAAATTACCCAACAGGAGCTTGCGACAACTTTAAATTGTTCACAAAAAACAATTTCCAATCAATTGCGTGCACTTGGCAAAGTCCAAAAGTTTGGAAAATGGGTTCCTCATGAGTTGACCGACAACACCCGTAATCAAAGAGTCACAATTTGCAGTTCGCTCCTCTCTCTTCAAAACCGTTTGCCGTTTTTAGAGCAAATTGTTACCGGAGAGGAAAAATGAGTCCTGTATGTTAATTTGAAAAGGCGGCCTCAATGGTTGGACAAAAATGAGGCTCCGCAGCCCACACCAAAACCTGACTTGCGTGCGAAAAAAGTGATGTTGTGTGTTTGATGGAATTTTAAAGGAATTCTTCATTATGAACTTTTACCATCTAACCAAACCATTACAAGTGCAGTGTATAGTGCCCAATTGGAAAGGTTAGCCCAAGCTTTAAGAGAAAAAGAATCCGCGCTGATTAATCGGAAGGGCGTAATTCTTCACCACGATAACGCACGACCGCATACTGCAAGAATCACTGCTGAAAAACCGCGCCAGTTGGAATGGGAAGTTCTCCCTCAACCTGCATATTCTCCTGATATTGCCCCTTCCGATTACCATTTGTTTCGTTCTTTGCAAAACTTTCTTCTTGGAAAAAAATTTAATAATGAAGAATGCCTCAAAAATGCATTGACCGAATTTTTTGCATCAAAATCACAAGAATTTTACAACAGAGGGATTAAAATGCTTCCTGAGCGTTGGGCACAAGTAGTAGAAAACAACGGCAACTATATTGTTGATTAAATTTTGTTGTATTGTTTAAATAAATTCGATTTAAAAAAGGTATTAGAAAACGACATTAATTATTACTAGACCTAATACTACATACTACAAGTTGGATGATCTTTAAAACATTATTCTAGAAGAAAAGTCATTCGTCTCCCAAAATCCCACAAATATTGAATGATTTCACTTACGTATTTTCCGGCGTATAAGACGACTTTTGAAACGAAAAAAAAAAGCCTCGTCAGATTGGCCAGATTCAGAGAGGCAGTCTATTAAAAAAACAACAACAACAAAAAACAACTGGTGTTGCCTTGGTAGTTGGGGATAGTCTTATACAGCGAAAATAGGCCTAAACCTATGTTTTAACTGTAAAATTGGGGGGGGGTCGTCTTATACGCCGGAAAATACGGTATATGAATCTATTTAATTTTATCCTTTAGTGGGTAAAAGTATAGTATGTATATTATATTTAAATAAAACTTTTAAAAACACACAAAAAAAGATATGACCATAATTGATATGCTCCAGCTAAAAGTCATCTGTGTATTTCAGAGGCCAAGTTGATAAAATGGTTAATTGTTTGGTTCAAGAAAAAAACATTTACCACCTACTTTATTGAATGTTCAGTTAATTTCTCTGTGTTGATTTAGATTAGAAAGTAGCTTGAATGCTACATGAAATATAGTTTAAGGATAGATGTTTTGTTCAAAGTTTGACTGAATTGACTTACTATAGGACTATTATGGAGTTAAGTTTAAGTCCAGTTTATGCCATTCAATGTCTGTGTGTTTTTTAAAATCTCTAAATGAAATGGCATCAACAGTTGAGGATTTTGTTGGACTGTTTAATTAATACAGACATACCTTGTTTTATTGCACTTCGCTTTATTATGGTTTATGGATGTTGTGTTTTTTTACAAATTGAAGGCATGGCCCTCCACCAACAAAAAAATTACAACTTACTTTATTGTGGTGGTGTGGAACCAAACCTGAAGTATTTCCAAGGTTTATGTACCTGTTCCTAGTACCTTTTAAATATTAAATCTATATAAAAATTAAATTATTTGTGATTCACTTTTAAAAGTCAATTTCTTAATTTTTTAGTCCATGAGAGAGAATGTTGGGAAGTGCAATTATAATAAAGGTTTTTGTAATGACTTATAACACAAGATATTTTGTTTAAAAAGTTTTAAACAATGTGGCTAACTTAGCATGTCTTTAATGGAAATGTTAAGTCGTCATTGTTTAAGTTTGAGTATGCAAGAGAGTTCTTTATATTAAACTATCCTGTATAAATAAAAGCCTAATATACAAATCAACCAACCTGTGGAATGATCAGTCGCTATGATGTGTACTGACCATCAGGGGGCAGACACTCAACACAGGAGCTGCCTGCAACCCACAGGCCCCCAGGCCGGCCAAGGTGGGTACCAGTGGGGCACACCCCCACCCCATTGCCCCACTGGTTGCCCTACAGAGGGAGGCAGATGGGGCCAGGCCCACCAAGGTGGGTGCCAGCAGGGGGCCCCCTGATGGCCCCACCAGTCGCCCCATAAATCAGCCCTGATCAACAGCCAGGCCCAGGGACCCTACCCTTGCATGAATTTCGTACACAGGGCCTCTACTTTGTTTATAATTTGTAATTGATGCTAAATGTATCTTTGAAAAATACATATTTTTATTGCACTGTTGACACAATTTGGGTGATGGGGAAATCAGAGAGCTGGTTGCAAATATCACTAAATGTATTTAAAATCTTTCATGCTTTTAGTGTCTTATTGACATTGTGCCAAGGTAGTTCCCCATCTTCTTATTTAGAGCACTTTTAAGTTTTCCATTATGTAACTAAATGCATGTGTTGATTCATTGTGGTAACTTGAAGTAAGTTACATGAACTGGTATTTTAAACACTGGTATTTAAAAACAAAATAGTTATTTCTAAGAACACTTAAAAGATGTAGTTTGCTTTTCTTTATCTTTTTTTATTATCATAGTTTCCTTTTTATTTATTAGCTACAAAGGTGGAAGTGCAAAGCGTTGTTAACCAAGTTCAATACTTCTGCAGTTCTGAGAGCAAGTTTGGACAGTCTGTGGGATGACGTATCATACTGAAGTGTTTCCCCTTAAGAAATTGAAATGTTTCTTCTTAAAGCATGTGATGCACTCTGTGTGTTCTTTTTTCTAGTGCTAGTTTTGACCTATTAATTTCATAACCCATTAAAGATTTGAAAGCTTCAGTTTGTAAATTGGTATTCTAGGGACAGAATTGAGAATTCAACTATTAATACATTCTTCTTGAGTCTTACCTCTGAATAGTCCTTTACAAATTTTTGTTTTGTGTCTGGAGAAAACAGATCTTGTACTAGGAAGGCAGATAGGATTCACAAATGAGACTTGGAGTTTAAGATTATTATTATTTTTTTTTTTTTTACTGAGTTGAGTTGTCTGAACTATTGCTGCAATATATTAAAAACCATTATATTGAATGCTCAAGGAAAATTCCCCTTTAATAATTATAGATTAATTAGAGTTTACTTGTACGTTTTAAACAAAACTCATAATAAAATAAAATAAAATAAAATAAACTTGTATTAAAAACCAGAGAGGGTGATGTTTTGTTAATCCTCACCTGAGGATATTTTTCCCATTTATTTTTAGAGAGAGTGGAAGGAAGGGAGGAGGGAAGAGAACTAGAGAGACAGAAACATTTATGTGAGAGACACATTGATTGGTTGTCTCCCCTAAATGCTCTGATCAGGGCTGGGGATTGAACCTGCAACTCAGGTATGTGCCCTTTAGTGGAATTTGAATCCACAGCCCTTTTTTGTACAAGATGATGCTCCAACCACTGAGCAAGACCAACCAGGGCCAAAATATATTTTTGTATTCACTTTGCTTTTATACTTTTGTAGAGATAAGTTTTATCCTGATTTGAAGTTTTAAAATATTTTAATTATATTAAGCAAATTTGTCTTATCTGTTGTTAATGTTTACTTTTTTTTTTTTTTTTTTACATTTATGCTTTTGATATTGAATGGGGAAAGATACTTGTGCAAATATGTCACCAAATTTTTTGCAGGGACATTTAGTCGGTCTGGATGAACCAGCTTCGGAAGCTGGGCGGGAAGCTCTGCTTAAACAAGAGCAAGCAAAAATCATACGATTCGAGAAACAAGCAGAAGAGTTCCTCAATGCAGTCTTTTATAGAAAAGGTTGGTTCTAATAAAGAATAATATGTAGCATCTGCTTGTCTTGTGTTAATCTTAATTTCAATGTTATTTTCAAAGAGTTACTATAAAAATATTTTTCTTTATTGATAATACACTTTATAATTCTCCATGTAATTTGAAATAGGGTAAGGCAACCCCACTCCCTCCTTTTACTCTGAAGTGATAAGTTTTAGTTAAATAATTCTTAAAATTATTATGAAAGTCTGAAAGTTGCAAGGTTTCAGTAGTTCTATATATTCTTAGTCAGATATTCTTACATAAACAGTTACTGTTTTTATCACTGAAAACCATAAAACTAACTGTAAATTTCTAGTAATTTCTCACCGAACTATTGTTTGCAGAGAAAAATATAAAGTTATATCTTAAAATTAGATTTGTAGCCGAAACCGGTTTGGCTCAGTGGATAGAGTGTCAGTCTGCTGACTGAAGGGTCCCAGGTTCGATTCTGGCCAAGGGCATGTATAATACATTGGTTGCGGGCATATCCCCGTTAGGGGGTGTGCAGGAGGCAGCTGGTCGATGTTTCTCTCTCATCGATGTTTCTAACTCTCAATTTCTCCACTTTCCTCTCTTAAAAAAAAAAAAATCAATAAAATATAAAGATATTTCTTTAAAAAAATTAGATTTGCAAGCACTTTTTCTCGATGTAGTCTTATTTCACTATTTTTTTAAGTTATTAAAATTAGAAAAAGAAATTTATTATTATAAAATAAAACTTCCCCCATACATTTGAGGTGGCATTTAGTAGCCTCACCTCTTGTGTGTTTTTTTTTATTTATCTTTCTCCTTGAAACCTTTGTAGGTTTGTTTTACATTTCTCTGTCCTCAAAGAATAATTGCTACCAGCCAAGTCCTTCAGGAAGTTTCCATTCATGAGCCATTTTAGTGAAGATATTATTTCTACATAGACTTTTAATCTTCAACAGACATAATGACTCCATTTTCTTTAATATTTCTTCAGTGTTCTAGTTTACACCTGTCATTCCTCTGGAAATTTCTTTCTTCCCTTTTAAGTTTGAAAGCTGGTGTTTGCCTGTACATTGGAAAAAAAAGTCTGTTAAGTGTTGATAAGTCTGATAATGGTCTGGTTACATTTGGAGACCAGCTCGGCTTCTGCATAATGTAATTAGTATTTTCAAAAGGATGTATGAGGTGAAGTGTATTAGAAAATTAAGGAATGCAAAAAAAGAGAAAATTCACAAGATTATTGTTTTTAGTGGCATTAAAAAAATTATTTTATCAGTTCCCTAGACATAATTAAATCTTTATCCTCTCTTCTCTTTTAAATAATACCTTCTTGCAATTTCTGACCTAAAGCTCCCAACTGAGGCTCTTGGACTCACTTTATTGTCTCAATAAAGTACCCTGAATCCCAAAATTATGTTCAAAACAGTAATATTATTTTGTTTTATGAACATTCATTTTATTAAAATAACTCACATTTAAGATATAAGTGACAAATAGTCCTAGTAATTCACATTTAAAGTGTAATGCTAATAGGCCTATCAGTTTATTAACTAAATAAAATATCTTGACAGCTCATCTGCAGTGTACTGAATCATGGGTTTAATGTTGCAGCAAATGTCATTATCTGAAAAGAGGAACTTCTCTATGTACATGGAGCAACCACTTTTCATTCACTCTTAGCTTGGAGGGAGTTAGCTTACTTTTCTACTAGTCCCATTTTTTTGTCATGCAGAAATAACTTACATTGAAGTTCATAAATTTTTATTTAGAAATTAATCTTTTGAGAACATAACCTTCAGGGGAGGGATTGTTACCTTGAAATCAGTCTTAGAATAAACTTCAAGAGATGAGAATTCCTTAAATTTGTATGTAAAGTTAAGTTTGTATATTTTTGTATACTGGCATATGATGCTCAGAAAAAGAATTATTACTTTGCAATTGGAAGTTTCTTCTGCCTTGCTTTATGTATTAACATTGTTATTTTTATATATTTTATTAGTCATCTTGGAAATATCTCAAAGATGAGCATTAGTCTTCAAATTAATACTTAAAATGTTTACTATCCAGAATTATGACAATTTAGTCTGAAGTGAATATTTTGTTTTTAATAACTACTTCAGATATTTGGATTTAGTCCTTTGTTTCCAATTATTGCAAATTGCTATAACTAATTGAGTATGTAAAAATCATATAACTAAATAGATATATAAATACAATAAAATTAGGCTTTTGTGGTACGGAGTCTATAATAAATTCCAAATTAAGGACAGTATACCTTCTGCAATTGTCATGATCATGTTTCTTTTCAGTGTGTTTTGTCACTTGTGTTGAGGAAATCTGATACTTGTCTAAATGTTAGATTTTCATGTTTGAAATAGGCAGGTGGCTGTGAGGTAGCATTTACATGTTTTTCTGTAGTTTTAATTTTGATCTGATTTGCTGTCTTTTATTTGACTCAATTGTGCATATTCACTGAGACATGAATCGGTTTATAGATATATTTTAAGAAAGTAAAGGAATGAAAATTATTCAAGAAGCTTTCAAAAGACAAAGTCAAATGCAGAGATGTCAAAAATTCATAAACATGAATTGTGATTTGTAATTGTTATTCAACAAAAAGGTAAAATATGCTGCAGCCATTTAAAGCTCAAAGGTAGCAATTTGTGTTGTTTATCCTAAAACCTTTGACTCCTACGAATCTAATTACATTTATTAATCTAGTTAAACACAGAGACATTTCATAAATGTCTTCATTTTGCTTCCAGTTTGGAACCTTCTTTATGTATTACATGTTCTCCAACTTTCCAGGGGAAAAATATACATTAAAACTTGGAATTACAGTATACATATATTCTTTTCATTTAGAGGATTGTATGCTATGTAAAAAAAAAAATGAATCTTACGTGGAAAGTTTAATGAATATTAATAAGAAAATCCATTCGGTAGAGAGATTTTTAAAGCAGTGTATAGCTGAAATGTTTATTAAAAACATTTAAGGAACCATTGTTAGTAATTATATTAATTTCTGAATCTTACCACCTTAGCTAGTTTGGCTCAGTGAATAGTGTGGTCTGCGGACTGAAGGGTCCTGGGTTCAGTTCCAGTCAAGGGCACATGCCTGGGTTGTGGGCTCAATCCCAGTAGGGGGCGTGATCCAGCTGATCAAGGATTGATGTTTCAATCTCACTCCCTCTCCACTTCTCTCTGAAATCAATAAAAATATGTTAAAAACACACACACACATACACAAAAACAAAAACAAAAAAACAACACTTCTGAATCTTACCTAATTGAATATATTTATTTCTAGACTCTCTGGCATACTCAGAGTTTTTATTTATAGACAGGAAACTTAAGGTGGAAAATAATTTTTAGTAGAATAGAAATATTATTATTGGTAGAACAAAACCTTGTTAAACTTAAGAGAATTAAAAAAAAATCTGACTTTAAATCACCCTCTGGTATTGAATATTGGCCTTCAGAAAAAAGATTTGTCTGTTTTTGAGGTGTGTGTGTGTTTTGTGATAATATTAGATTTTAGTTATGAGTTAGTTTTTTCTAAATTTGTAAATCAACCTAAGTTTCTTACAGCTCCTCGGTAACATAATTTATCTTCTATAGTGAATCTTTAAAAGACCAAGGAAACTTAGGTTCTCCATCTTCTAAAACCTCAGAAGTATGGTGGAGAAGTAAAAATCATGGTTGGAACATTAAGATCAGGGGAAGAGTTTTGTTTTTTAGTTTTTTATAAATATGGTGAGGCAGTGTACTGTGGTGGCTTCAGCAGCCAGATTGCCCCACTTTAAATATGTTTTTATTGATTTATTTTTTAGTTTTTAGAAAGAGGAAGGGAGAGGGATAAAGAGATGGAAACATCAATCAGCTGCCTCCTGTACTCCTACCAAGGATCTAGCTCACAATCTGGGCATGTGCCCTGACCAGGAATTGAACCAGTGACCTCTTGGTTCATGGGTCAATGCTCAACCACTGAGTCACACCGTCTAGACAGGGAGAGAGGTTTGATGAAGGGTCTACCACTAACCATCTATACAGATTTGAAGAGGCCACTTGATCTTCAGAGCACATTTCCTTCATTTGTTAAAAATAAACACAGCGATTGAATGGCAATTGATTTGATTGATCCATATATTACTTAACTAATATGAATGCATACTTTACAGAAGGCTATATTAGGTGCTGATTATATAGTGGTGAATAAACATAATCTTTGGCGAAGCTCAGACTCCCTAATGATGTGATCCTGATAATATATGTATGCAAAACATTTTGCCTTTTGTTTTAACTCATTTGACCTTCAAGGTCTTTTTCCAGTGCTGAAAATAGAATTAATTTTTTAAAATTAATATTGATTACAAAATGATAACATAGGTGTTGATTTTATTGCTTCCCTAGCTGTTGTGTTTAGTGGTTGGCACGGTGTATTTAAAGAATTCATAGGAAATGTATGGTCTTAGGCTTTTGCGATTTGTCATTTAAACTTCTAGCTAGCCCAAGGGTTCTAAAGCTGTGGCCCTTCCACCAGTAGGATCGAGAAGCCTGTTAGAAATGTGTTGGTCTCACCCTAGAACTGCAGAATTAGGCAGACCTGATTTTACAAGCCCTCATAATGATTTGGATGAATATTAAAGTATGAGAAGTATTGCCCTAGCCCACCATTGGTCTTAATATTGTGTCACCTTTTATAATCTTGGTATGTCGTCAGTCCTTAACAGAAAGTAAACACTCATGAACTGAGTAATCCATGCTTCAGCAATTTAGGAAGAAACTGCTTATAAGAACAACAGATATGATCTAGAGGTAGTAAATAGGGTAGTAATTATCTTATAAAAGAAGTGTTGGAATTTCTATATCAGGTAAGTGATTCTTGCCCCCAAAATAATTGTTATCCCTTTATTTGATTAATAATCTTGGGGAGATGTTTATAACTAATTTTTGAAAATGTTTTTTTTTAATCAGCTCATAAGCTTAGAGATAAAAAATATAACTATGAGGAAATGCTATTTTAGGATACTGCATTTTAAGAAAAAAATAAAATGAAATTTTATGTTTGGTTGAAAGCTGTATATATATATATATTTTTTTTTTTTAGTACATTGTCCCACTTTAAAAGTAAATAAATCTTTGTTTACAGACAGTCCCTGGGTCTCCGACCCCAATATTCCCCTAGTGGCCCGTGAGATCATGCAGCGAATGATCCAACAATTTGCTGCTGAATATACCTCAAAAAATAGCTCTACTCAGGACCCCAGCCAGCCCAATAGCACAAAGAACCAAAGCCTGCCGAAAGCATCTCCAGTCACCACTTCTCCCACGGCTGCAACTACTCAGAACCCTGTGCTCAGCAAACTTCTCATGGCTGACCAAGACTCACCTCTGGACCTTACTGTCAGAAAGTCTCAGTCAGAACCTAGTGAACAAGGTATGGTTTGATGTCAAGGTCTCCTCTGTCCAATCAGAATACTTTTAATTTGGGGAGAAAAAATAATTGGCAAGTAGGACACCAATAGCAATAATAGAATAAAAACTTATGTGATTCTTAAATTGCTAACTATGCAATGATAGAGAAATTCAGATAAAGTCTTACCCATCAGGAGTCCATAGTCATGTTTTATGTACCACCCAGAAAAGTTAGGTAGTTACAGTTGTTACTGATCTTTAAGTTACTTGATATTTAAATAAGCATTTTATACTTTCCAAAATGTTATATGTATTTTTTTAATAAAAACCTGAAAAATAATTTTCCCCCTCTTCCATCAATGTTTTAGGATTAGCAATTGAGAAATAAACATGTCTTTATTTGTTAGGTAGAAGAAGTTATATTCTGCAAATGAGATCATAAGACAAAAACGTATTATTGGTAGTTTTAAAAAAGAAGCTCTTAGGGTTAGAAATAATGAGAAAACAGTAAACATACTTGAGGTTGTCAAGTGTATTCATTATTTTATTTTAAAAATTATTTTATATATGCACTGTATTGTGAACTAACCCACAAGCATTTCCAGATAATTTGTTGGTGAGGATCCTAATTAAGTAGTAGGTTTTAGAGGTTATTTGCTTAGCAAATAATTCTCGAGTCTTTGAAAAGTTTACTCTCATAAATAGATTAAATATTTCTGTTGCTTTGTGATCTCATTTTACCTTAATTTCACAAAGATGAGTTGAGCATTTTCACTCTGCCATTGTTCATACAAGTAAAAATTTTAAATTGGTAATGTCTGAACTAATGAGATTTTGTGAGAAATTTCATAAGAGTAAGCAGAAAGGTTATCAGGTGTGTGGATTTATTAGTAAGAAATACACGTTTATTTTACAAAGTATAATAAATTAAGTTTAATTCTTATAGAAACCTGTTTTAAAGAATTTGCTTTTGCTTAAATTATTTACGAAGGATTTGCACTTAATGATGACTTTAGTTGCTTTTTAAAGAATTTAAAAAATAATTTTTCTTTGCTTTTTTCCTGTTTCTGTATAGTGAGTAGCAATAAGAATATCTAAGTTTTTCTAAGAGATTTCCTAGCACAAGATCTCGTAGTTGTTCTGTATTCACATTGATCAGTGTATCTTTGATTACCATATTTGCAAAGTTGGTTTTTTTCTGTTTTATTGAGGATTTTAAAAAATTTATTTATTTATTTATTTATTTAACCAAATTAATAGCTTTCATTAAAATCTCATTGTTCAACATATTGCACTAAAAGCTTCAGATTTACAGTGGGAGAATGACAGCATAGAGATTGTATTTAAAGTATTAATAATGGAGATAAAAAGTCTAACCTAACTTCTTATAGCCAGTGGTATGCTTAAAAGGTGTATTGTTTTGACAGCATATTCTTACAAAAGAAAAATTTGGACTAGGCGATAGGATTTTAGTATACAAGCTCATTGCTTCACTTAAATTATATTTCCTTAATGAATTTTTTGCCTATTTGATTACACAGACTTAGAAGTCTTTAAATAATGTCTTTGGTTGGAAATATTCTTATGAGTATATTTGCTTGTTAGATATCTAATTGGGTTAGATGTGTAATAGGGATACTTGGTTTTATAAAATTACAATTATATATTTAGAAATATTAGTACTCTGACATGATAATACTTATTTTGTATGAGTGTGGGCTTTTGATTTATAAACTCAATTTTTCTTTTCTAGACATGTCTATTAGGGGAATAAAAATCTTTGTGGGAGATACAGTGTTTTCAGGCACAAGTTCTAAGTGAGTTTAATATTGGAGCAATTTTTATAACTAAATAGCTAAGCCTCTCTGCTGGCCAACTGAAAAGTCAGGGGTGCATTGAGTATTATCTTACTCGGTTAATTTTGGACAGAATGGCAACTTTAAAAGTTGTCCAGACTCTCAAGTTTTCTTTTCTAGACATGTCTATAAGCGGAATAAAAATCTTTGTGAGAAAAGAAAGTTGTCTGATTTTTTATTGTAGTAACATGAATTTGGGATTTGGTCTAACTTCTAGAGGTCTAAACCTCAGTCATTAAGACTTTTTTTCTTCTTTCTTCCCTTAAACTTTGCCCATCAACTTATAATAGCTTATTAACAACAAAAAACCAACCCTTTACCTTTATAAATATCAGCTTGTGAATTTGAACCTCTACAGATATTTTTCAAGAGATTGTCAATAAATGCAACAGTTTTTTACAGAGGGGTCCAAAGCGTAATTATAATATATGTACATTGTATAAACCGTTAATTAACAACTGATTCATTTTACAGAGTGTATATGTGTAATTTAACCATGTAAACTTATATTTTAAGATTACTTTTGCATTACTTATTACTTAAACTTTTATGTACTTTTAGTGCTTTAGTAAAGTTATAGAAAATGAAGTCTAATAGTTCTATGGTGAACCTCAAACTTTATAAACTATTTCTAATATCTCACTGTATTTTAACATCTATAGGGATATGCTTTGCCTTTTATTTTGCCCTATTAATAAAATATTTTACACTTCTAGATATTAGATATAACAAGCTTTGCTAAATTTATGTTGCTTCAGGAGGAAAAATATCCTGACTCTATTAATGAATTGATTTCATAGCTCAAATATATGATAAGTGTATCTGCTAGTTGACTAGACCCACTGCTTTGTCATTTTTGGCCTGTTCAGATCCCATTTACTCCTAGTTTTTAATATCCTTAGGTGTTTCTTTGTGTCTTTACAGACGGTGTACTTGATCTATCCACTAAGAAAAGTCCATGTGCTGGCAGCACTTCCCTGAGCTATTCTCCAGGCTGCTCCAGTACTCCAGGGAACGGGTAAGGGAAAATATTTGTAGCCTTCCACAATTTTATAGGAGACAATTTATCAAAGATTGATGCCAGTTTCTTTCATGTTTTAAAAATTAATCCTTCAAATACTCTTCTAGGTAGACCTTTAGTAAAAATTACTTCTAGTATGCCAATCAAATAAAAGCAGTCTCTGATCTAGAATTGACTGGTATAAATCAACTGTGCCAGTTTAGTACAAATGGTAAATAATGAGAAGCATGACAAGAATGTCTTTGGACTTTTTGTTGTTGAGTATTTGAGAGTGTGAACCCCAACCTAAATAATTTCAAAGTTCAGATATAAAGGCAGTACTGGATTATGTGTGCTGAAGTTGTTGAATAAAAATTAGGCTCTAGTAATTAACTTGGTGTCTCTAATGTAGTGTGTGGGTGTGTGTCAGATGTTTGTTTTGTTTGTTTATTTGAACTGCAAGTTTAACTTTGTGTGGCAGTTCAGAAAATGTAATTGTATTTTTTGTTTTAAAGTAGATAAAGATGGGTTGTAAATATTGACAAATAACTATCTTACGCTGTCAAAATGTTATATGCATAGTTTTGATAACTCTTTAGCAGGTTCAAGTGAATTTCCTGACCTTCTAATTTTACAGTATAAGATTATCTAATTCTCCTGTGTGTATATATTAACTATTTAGAGGAAAATGAGGTATTAATAAAGATATATAGATGCATATTGGGAAGAAATTTCCATAAAACGTATGTGGTGACCAAAAATCAACTTCATCTAGATATGGAAAAAAAACTTGAATAAGTTAAATTAGTTAACATTTATATTTATTTAACATTTTGATCATCAAACATGGGGCATTGTTTAGATGTTATAGAATAAGTAGACACTAAATGGACTAATCGTTTCGATTTATACTTAATTATCTTCAAATTGAAGGATTTCTTTACTGACTTCTAAAATGTGCCCTTTATTTTCTCTAAAATTCCATCATTTTTCCTTTTCTCTCCTTTATATTCAGTCTAAAAATAACATTTATTTAATCTATTTTGCTTAGTTTGCTAATCTTTTCCTTTAAATTCTTCTTTTCACTGTAGTTTATATGTACTTGGTAGATGCTATCATGGTCCCAAATCATTGGATTCCACTTATATATTAAAAATTTGAGTTATGTAATTCAGAACACATGTAGAAGCCTAAGTGCTATATGTATAAATGAATTCCTTGCTTATGATTCACTTTAAACTTGGCCATCAGGTTTCATGTATTATTATATGGTTGAACTTGCTGTGTTTATCCTTGTAAGCAGAAGTTTTGGCTGTGGTATTGTTTTCTGGAAGACAAAAACACTGACAGTACTGCCCATCTTTTAGTTGAATATTCATTGTTATCTTTACTATTATTTACTGATAACAGCACAGAGTCCCTGTAGATTTTTGGAGAACAAAGCTAGTTTATCATTATTTCTGCAAAGTTCTACTTTTGTGCCTGTGTGATATAATTCCCCTTGGGCATGCTTTATCAGTTGCCAGTTTTATGAATGGTTATCTTTCTCTATTGTGAAAATGAAAACTTTATGAATTAATTTTGTGTAAGCAATTAACTTTTAAACACGATCCAAAGGCTATTTACTTAAAATTTCAAAATTGATATTTGTTATTTTAAGAGGAGAGTTTTTTTTATATAAAGAAGACTACAAAATTGCTTATATAACTGTGAAAATTATTTGATTAGAACTTAAGGAACAAAGTTTTGGGGGAAATAGAGTATAGTTTCCGTAAAGCTTGGATTATTTCAAATGGGGAGTCAGTGGTACTCATGTATCTGCAACTAATAGTGCTTTAAAATGAAGAAGTGTGGTAAGTTATAATGCAATTGGTATTTTGGTTTGGGGTACTTTTCTTTCTTGGAGCTGGTAGCCATATTTTTTTTTCCCAAGCAAAATAAGAAATGTCATTTGGAGTTGTTTGATTTTTATAGTGAACATCAGCTTGTTTGTGGGATAAATGAACAATTATCTATGGGTTCCATCAATGTAAATGGTTCCAGTTTTATGACTGGTTGTTATGAATGTTGGAAATGTTACATTAAAATAAATAATTTGGCTTACTCTTTTATTACTGTACTTGTTTAGTGGTAACGTCACATTGATAACACAATTCTATGGAGATCTATGGAGACTTGATGATTACTTTGTAATTAATAATTAAGGTGCTATTTTCAGACAGTTGCGCGAAACTTTTTCTCCGAAAATTTGTGAACCCAACCAGAGACCAGCTGACAGGTTTAATTTTTCTTTGCCCAAAAAGCTCCTGTTTTTTTTTTTTCTTTTTTCCTTTTTCTTTTTTTGTGAACACGTTTTAAAACTAACTGCTGAGACCATTTTTTTTAATTTTAGAGAAAAATAAATAAATAACACAAAGTGATGTTACCCAAGCAAGGCCTTCTAATAAAGGAGTGGTCCCCTCACCCATCCCTCCCTACCTGTGCAAGTCCTGCTCACATCAGTTTCCTTCCATCCAATTAGGCGACCTGGGAGACCCAGCCAGTACCGCCCAGACGGACTTCGGAGTGGTGATGGGGTACCTCCAAGAAGCTTACAGGATGGAACCAGGGAAGGTTTTGGACACTCCACATCACTCAAAGTTCCATTGGCTCGATCCCTGCAGATTAGTGAAGAACTACTGAGCAGAAACCAGTTGTCCACTGCTGCCAGCCTTGGGCCATCTGGATTACAGAATCATGGACAGCACTTAATATTATCCAGGGAAGCCTCTTGGGCAAAACCACATTACGAGTTCAACCTCAGCCGTATGAAGTTCAGGGGAAATGGTGCACTCAGCAACATCAGTGACCTTCCTTTTCTTGCAGAAAACTCTGCTTTTCCAAAAATGGCACTTCAAGCAAAACAAGATGGAAAAAAGGATGTGAGCCATTCATCTCCTGTAGATTTAAAGATACCACAAGTTCGAGGAATGGATCTTTCTTGGGAATCTCGCACTGGTGATCAGTACAGCTATAGCTCTTTGGTAATGGGTTCACAAACGGAGAGCGCGCTTAGTAAAAAATTGAGGGCTATTCTTCCAAAACAAAATAGAAAAAGCATGTTAGATGCTGGACCTGATTCTTGGGGCTCAGATGCTGAGCAGTCTACCTCTGGACAGCCATATCCCACATCGGATCAAGAAGGAGACCCTGGCTCCAAGCAGCCTCGGAAGAAAAGAGGGCGTTACAGACAGTATAACAGTGAGATACTGGAGGAAGCAATCTCAGTGGTTATGAGTGGAAAAATGAGTGTTTCCAAAGCTCAGAGTATTTATGGGATTCCTCACAGTACACTGGAGTACAAAGTAAAGGAGAGGCTGGGCACTTTGAAAAACCCTCCAAAGAAAAAGATGAAATTAATGAGGTCGGAGGGGCCAGATGTTTCCGTAAAGATTGAATTAGATCCCCAGGGAGAGGCAGCACAAAGTGCAAATGAATCAAAAAATGAGTAGGAATATTGTAGAGTGCCAATTAATGTACAAACTGGGTGAGCACTACTGCTGTCATTGCTTGCACCTTTTACTGTGACACTTGTTTCTCTGCAGATTTTGCGTTGACTTGTGTGTGCAGAGGTGGAAGGTGCTTTCTGAATGTTGCATATTTAGAATTTTTCATGTGCAGTATCACTCGGGACATTGTTTGGCCTTTTGCGTGTTTCTCTATAAGAGAATTGAGTTACCTCACAGAGAACAGATACATGGAAGCGGACTCCTTGCCTGTAGAGCCTGCATGCTTTTTTCTCCTTTCTTTTAAGTTATATTTGTCTTTATTTAAAAAAGATAAAGAGCCCCCTTTTAGAAAACACCTCTGTATACGGGGAGCTTTATCACTGAAAATTGGAAGCCATCATATAAAATTGTTCACATTTTTTTCTTCTGCAATTCAACTAATTGAAGGATTAAATTAAAGAAAAATCTCTTAAGAAATGACCCTTTGAATTTAAGAGATTTGTTTATGCCATGATAAATAATAATTTGGGTCAATTTTACATGTTATGATTTTCTCCTCACTGTTAAATTTACATAACAAATTAGCAATCTGTTTAGTGCTCACCCAGAGGGGAGAAAGTAGAAAATGTGCACACACTACCTTCAGAAATGCTTCGGTTAATTACTTTGTAACACTACCTTTGCTGTAATTTCATTTGGGACTTTCTAAGGGTAGAATTTGGTCTCACCAACAGTGAGGATATAGCCTTATCTCATGGAGGACGAGCTCCGTTCTTACTCAGGAGCAGTCAGGGTACATTACATAACAATAGAGGATGCCTCATTTTAGCAAACTCAGTTTCTTTGTATTCTTAAATCTTTTTATAGATTTGATCACGTGCTAACAAATGACTGTTGTTGCAGCAACTAGTTTAAAATAATCAAGATCTGTTTATTGGGGAATGGGAGAAATAGGAAAAGAAGTGTGTATAAGTAATTATAATATTGTAAAATGGTATCTAGATTGTACAGCCTCAGTAGTATGCCCAAATATCCACATGAATGAAGGATCCATATTTGTGGTGAGAGAAAAAACACAGCCCCAAGGTAACCTTTTATGATTTAGGTTGCATATCAATTATAATAATTCAACCAGAAATCAAGATTTATTTTTTTTTAACTAATGCAAATACTAGTACAAGGGGGGGGGTCGTCTTGTTTTTAGTTTTTATTTAACTCGTTGCTTTAAATCTTTTTTTGGCATCCATAATATCCCCTTTTTAACTTTTCCTGGTATTTGCTTATTTTTATGGTTGGTTAGCACACAGTTCAGGACCTTTCAGATCATGTTTGAACAAGCACTCCTTGAAGAACATCTAAACTTTTTTGCTTTTTTTTTTTTTTTTTTTTTTTTTTTTTTTTTTTTTTTTTTTTAGGTGGACTTAAAAAAAATAATTTATCTTTATTATTGAAAGTGTTACAGGTCCTTTTTTTTTTTTTTTTTTTTTTTTTTTTTTCTGAGATGGGCTTTTTAAATTTTAGTAATTAGGT